GAATTATTTCTTTTGTAGCAATAAAAATTACATGTTATCCTTGATTTTTCTATGCGTCTCCATTTATTTTACATCTTAAAAGTAAATGGCAAATTAATTTTTTTCATTTGTACCCTTAGGACAAACTCCAATCTTTTTCTAGCAGCTATACTAAAACTGCAACCACATTTTTTTTCAAGCTTTAGTCATGGGACTTAAATCGAAGTTATTCCAAAATTGTGTATATCTTGAATATATCAATGTGTAAGATTCATTCGTGAGCTCTTACAACGGTGATGCTCTAGGAGGGAGCAACTTAAGAAAATAGAATACTGAAAATTACTATACATTTTTTAAATATCCAATTTAGTAATAGCTTTACAAAGCTGACATCAGTGTTATTACAATCATGTATAGTTCGCAAGCATAGTAAGAATAAATGTGCTCGAAAACTTGCAATCAAGTATGATAAAGGAAGGGCATCAGTGCTAGTGGAGAGCTCGAGATTCCATAAGAGTGTTCGTGATATGTGGGAGCTCGTGATAAACGCATAGTAAGAGCTTGAAAATACTGGCTAGAGATTAACTAAAAATGTATGCCAGGTATGAAATCTTTAATAAGTGAAGAACTAACACATTTCTTAACACGATGCTATACTACTTTATTCATGATGAGTAGGTTTCGCTGCTATCAATATATCTTAAATAGGACTAGACTACTTGAGACATGATTTCTTCCGAACGTATAAAAAGAGGACACTTATATTCGACTAATTATAAGAAATAAAGGCAACTTTACTCATTATAGTTAATGAAATTAAATGTTTGGAATAATTATCTTGTCTCATTATTCATGCACACTAGAGAAAAGGTGTATGATTTTACAGTCAGAGTATGCAAGTGAATTAAAAATGCCTTGATCCTGCAATTCTGCCATATTTAACGAAGGCTTAGCCTGTCGAAAAAAGGATGGGAGCATCAGAATTCTAGACTCATATGATATGTTTCCTGGATCCAAATCCATTAGCTCTTATCCTTATTTGATCATGCCTCTCAAGCAGCAAGTTAAATAAAATAGAATAGTATGGTAACAACATAAATACAAAATGAATAAACGATAGGATAGAATGAGATTTCCGAGCACCACACTGCTGGCAAGGTTCAATGCGAAGAAAAGTTGGGTTCCGATGACTCTCTTGTTTCATAATTGCTTAGCTTACTTCGATTTACAGCGAAAGTGTTTGGTGAAAAGATTCTAATGTCGATCACACCAGAAAACGACGGCGGATTCCTTTTGACCAGCTGTCGATTGGCTCTACTGCAACATTCTTGCTGACGATGTTTCCGGGGTAATCTCTTTCGATTCCGTGAAAACGGGCTAAGCTTTCACTCGAAGTGGAAGTGGTAGCTCAACAAGGTTTTATGCATCCAATGACGTGAACTGACAAATTATTTTGTTATTACAACAGAAGATCGAGCTATAATGCACCTATCATTAATGGGGCCAGTGTAGGTTTCTTGTATTTTCTGTTATCCGCGTGACACAAATTTGAGTAAATATTTTAATATTACTGTGACAAGGAATACAGAAAAATCCAATGTGTCAAGCAGACAGTTATTCATACTGCTTCATCTTCAGAATTAGCTTATGCTTCGGTTTTGGGGCTTTCGTAATCGGGTCACATTCTCACTTATTTGCATTACTTGATAAGTCTTTTGGTAGCCTGCCAGCCTAGGCCATAGGCTTACACATGATCAGTCCCACACAAACCCACACTACCACCGGACCTGTTACGTAACTAAATTAACATTTGTCCAATTAAGGTAAAGCTAGGCTAAATCTCTTTCTTAAGGATGTATTTTGCCTGTCGAACCTAATGACTCAATTCACTTGTGAAGTTTGGTACATAATGCCATCCTGTTCTTAAGATCTATATTATATCATGTAGGTGAGCTCACAGGGACGAGGAACAACCTCTCAAGGAATTCACTGATAAGATGACGGATTATAAGTATCATTTCTTTAACAATTTTTCTTTTTTTTCTTACCCGCTCTGATTAGATTGCCTCTCCAGGCTTCTTCTTCCCGCCCGTCTTCTTCGACCCAACTGCACCGATCCTCCCAGAGACAATAGTAAAGCCTGATCCTGAGAAACCCGACCTCTATCCCGCTGGACCTTCGCATTTCAATTGGACAGGAGGAGTGCATAAATGCAATTGCCATGGTATGTCAGACCGCTGTGATGTGGTCACTGGAGTCTGCGCCAACTGCACAGGGAATACATCAGGTCGGGACTGTGGTGTCTGCGCTGTAGGCTTTGTGGGCGATCCAAAGCTCGGCAAAGCTTGTGTCAAATGTCGGTGTCCCACGACGGAGGCTGAGTAAGCGTACAATAAACTAGGCTTGATTGTAATTTTACTAAACCAAGTCGGTTCAAGGGTCCTCTATGATATTTTCTGTCAGTCTCTGCACATTACAATTGACCATGCTTCCATTCTCTGACGGTCACTTAACCACTCGTTTGGCCCAATTCGCATTTACAGCAGCAGTAGGCAACTTAGATTTTGTTGGAGTTGCAAGCAAGTGAGAAATAAACCTGGTCTTTTTCCCACTTTGAGTTATTATAGACAAAGGACAAAGGTTGCATTTGACTTAGTCCGCTCCATAGCCTCAGCAACTCATTTGTCTTTGCGAAGAAAAGTTGGGTTTAGAGGAATCTCTTTATTCCTAATTGTTTAGCCTGATTCTTTTTCGAGGAAAAGTATATTGTGTAGAGTTTCGAAGGTCTGTTTCAATTGGTTAGAGCCACCACTGCTGGTTTCGTACATATACAAATACATGTAGACGCATAAACACACATGCTTAGAGGTTGACATATTACTTTGACTTACCAAATTGCATTGTATCTCATCAAATAGCTTAGATATAAGGCATTTATACAACATTTAGAGATGGTACTTTGCACTCATGATGTTCGTCATATGACGGACGAAAGCTTGGCAGGTTTTCACCGGAATCGAAGGAGATTACCTCAGAGACATCGCCAACCAGAATTTTTTAGTTAAAGAGATCAACTGCTGGTCAACAGGAATCCGCCGTCGTCTTCACTTGCTCTTGTCAAGTCTCCATTTTTTTGAGCTTACTTCCATTTCGAGTCAAAGTGTTCGGTGAAGAGATCCTCTTGACAGGCTGTCGGTTGACTTTACTGGAACATTCTTGTTGACAATTTTTATGAGGCAATACCCTTCGTCTTGTAGTAGGATCAACTTTCAAATCGACTCTTCACTAAACGATTTCACTTGAGCTCAATAATTATAATCAAGAGCTTGCTTAAACTCCAACTTTTCCTCGCATATCCTCCATTTTGCCATTTAGCATTTTGATTTGGCTATTCTGTCCAGTTTAACGAGCAAAGACAGATGCATACGTTAAATCTTACAAGTAATAACTTATAATAATAATATTACAATATAATATAATAGAATAGTATATATATATGTATAATATTTGCATGTATTATGCACGTATTTATATTAATTAGAAATACAGTTTGATGGTTTCTAGTTGCGATCCTATTTGCAGTGGATGATGAAAGAATGTAGGGTAAGCATTTAGCTTAATTTTGTACACATATACCAAGCTT